ATATACATAAGTGGAGAATGAACTTACATCTGCATAGAACATCAATGATGGGGTAGATGAGAGAAATGCCAGATATCACTCACTTCTTCTGAATGTCCGTTGGGACCTTGCTGTGGTACATGCCATCTAGTTCATATTGCAATGTGCAGTAGTTGTACTGCAAATGGTCAGTACAGATGGGACCTTCGATGGTACAAGATACGAAGGAGCCACTTACAATATTTAACACAAAAGGGACAATAGCTAAGGCAAACACAGCTGATGCCCAATACACAGACCTACCCCAGATGGTATACACACGAAGGGTAGAAAAGACTAAAAAGGATTAGCAATGACAAGCACATCCATTGTTCATTTTACGCACAAGCTGTCACCAGCCTCAGCACACTGGCAAGTGCGTCTATGATATACTCCCTGATGACATAACTACACCCAGAGAAATGTCAGTATCACTCCTGCAGAGTACAGCAGGCAAGTGTCCGACCTCTGTAACAGAACATCATCCACATATAAGCATATATTGTACAGAAGAGAAAAGACCATACCTGTCCATATAAACGACCAGTGTCTTGATAGATAGCAAGGTACAGAAGGGAGAGATACCGGTTGAGCATGAAGAGCACAGTCACACCAGTTATTTTCCTGCCCCAGATCAACTTAACCTCTTGTGAAATGGTGATCAGGTATTCGTAGTAGAACAGTGTTGCACAGAGGGAGAATGTTAGAGACAGCATGGACACCACACCCATCAGACAGGGCAAGTTACCTTGGTACGAGATGGAGAAACAGTTTCCGACAAAACTGGATCTGGTGAGCATTACAGAGGACAACATTTGATACACCACTTACGAGAGCCATAAATCCGCAATGATCTCAGTCTCTGCCGTGCCGTTAGTTAACATTGTCGCAAGCTCTATTAAAGTGCCAGGTAAGTCTGAATGATGAACAAATGGCAATGTCACACTCAACTCACAGTCGACTGAGTGCACAAGGATGTGAGGACAGAGAGTGGCCCGACGAAGGGTATTGGTCCTGTCCAAGTTGTACCGCTATAGATCAGTTCTATACGTGCAGAAGTATTGCGCACAGGCTTGATATGTGGAGCAACGTGAATCCGCAATACACTACATCCGTACCAGGAAGTACGAAGCAGTCGGCTAGTTTGAATCCCGAGTTTCACCAACCATCATAGGAAGGCGAGACGTTCTGAACTTCCGATCGAAGATGTCTGTGCGCAGCACTAATCTCCGTCGACAGTTGTGGCCTGTATCGTCAGACTCTTCTCAGGGGCGCTCATGTGTCCCAACTTACTAGATGCAATGCCGACATGTTTAGCAAGACATATCTTCATTTTTCCTCTCGCACCTCGCAACAGCGCTCAGATATCCAATTCTTCGACGGCTTGTCCAGCTCCAGCTCCTTGGTGTGGGGCATCGCGTGCGCCTGATATAAATGTCAACATTGAGCGCTTGAGCGCTAAAGATGTGAAGAAGGAACGCACAGCATCGCCGAGGACTCTGCGGTGCGTTCGCCGATGTCGCATGTCGCAACATGATTACCGCAGCGATAAAGAAACCGCACCGCGACTCGATCAGCCTCTCGGACTGGTCAGCCTTGTGGTACAATAACTGATGATATTCTGTAACGGCGGTGCCTTTATTAATGTCGACACTGATGTTCTAGCGGGAGTAGTGTGACCATAGAGAGAAAATAAGCCCTCCGATCCCCTGCACCGCTAGAAACAATCATTATCGATTCAGATTCATCACAGCGAAAAAGCAAGTGAACTGACATGATGGCTATCCTGAACCTAACGTCGCGTGATGGCGAGAGTAGACGCACCGGAACTGTGAGCCGATAGACGTTCTGTAGTCAAAAGGCGTGCGAATGAGAGATATCCAGCTGGAAGCACACCGATTCATACATCGTCATGTCTGGTAAGTACAGCCGAACTTCTTTCGTCGGCGCAGATCACCTTGGAGAGCGCCCAATTAGATCCGACAAATTGCATGGAAGCTCTTACAGTGATTGTATAGGCAACACAGCATGGATTCAGGCGAATCCCGTACGCAGCATCCTGCCTATCATGCGGTCAACTAAGTCGAAGATTCGCATGCGGCAAACAGTCTAGTAGCAGTACCCACCATGTATCGTCCTGCGTCTTCTGGGACACTTGGAAGCCGATATGTTAGTACGTAGCCCCAATGCGTCTGTACTCGTCCTTGATAGCCATTGCGCATACATCGAGGTGTTATTCCAATAGCGAGAGGACGAAGGGTACGAGGTGCAGCATACGACCTACTGCGATTATCTCCCACTACGGTATCATGCCTGACGTCAAGCAGCCCGAAACCGTCAAGGAGCTGCGTGATACATTCGCATGACTCGCGACCCACGCGCCTTAGTGAACGCGTAGTTCGATGCAGGGGTAGTCCTCAAGCACATCTTCGTGGTGGGCCACTCCGCCAGGTGCATGCATCTCCCCATGGTCTACCCAGGGCTACTCCACCACTGTGCGCGGGTGCACGGACTGGTCTAAAGGCGGATGTGCGACTGCAGCCGCAAAAATCAAGATGACTCGGCGACACCACCTAAGGTGGCATAGAGTCTCTCCAGAGGTCAATAGTATTCTCGCCGTGTTGTGTAGCACGCACCACCAATAGTACCTGCTCCATCGTGACGGCGCATATCACCCCTGTTTACGGTGAACATCGGGGCCGTTTGAGGAAGAGCATCTTGGGTTAAAGGAGCAGCGAATGTACATCGTCCACGCATATAGTGTCATACTAGTTCAACCTCGCCTCGTGCAAGCAGCTGTTCCACGACGTAGTATGGTGTCAATGCAATCTGGCCCTTTTCCATGATCATCGTTGTCCCGCTGTGACAGCGCATACATCAGCCTGAGTGTCCTACAAGAAAATAAATTGTGCGTACTCCGGTAGACGAACAGGCGGACATTGTTGCCGCGCGTGAGCAAACACAGGACGGATCCTATCAGGTTGCGTGACTGTCCAGGCTCACACGTGAGCAAAAGTACGCGGAAACAACGCGGGTTGCGCATACTCATTGGAGGCATGAATGCCACCTCCTCATCGAGGGAGCGCTGCGAGTCTGGGAGACTCTGAAGGACGGACTGGGAGAAATTGTACTCTACGATTTTCGCATACCTGTAAAGGACATGAGGATCAACAGATAGTAAAAACCCGCTCCAGCTGACCTTCTCGCATGGTCCAGTTCCGCTTTGGACAGCTTCTCGTGCATCTCGGGTGTCGCGCTGATATATCGCGCGGACTTTTCAATCTGACTTCCCGTTATTACGCCCCATGCCCATGCCCATTGCGTTGTCATGGAGAGACACACCTTGTACAGTCGCGTGCGGATGTACGAGCGGACGACGAACTTGACGCGCTCAATCTCGGTCTGCACGAGCATGATACGGAAGTGCTCGTCCTCGGAAGAATCTGGGTCTGCGCGCAGGAGCTGCACGTCGTCAGACTAGCGCTTCGCGCCATCAGCTTCACGCTCTCCTTTACGGGCCACATCGCACGCACCTGCTTGCGAACGTGGTCAAGCAGTCGCCCGAGCAGAAGCTCTCGCCCCGGGAGAATGTCCGGGGCATGGCGCTCGTCCATCCAATGGCGCATGAGCTGCTGGAACGGCGTTTCCTCTGCGGTGTCCTGCTGGAACAGCGCAGCGTTAGCGGGCCCGAAGTCGTCTGGGATGGCAATGTCGTCGTCGTCGTCGGGCTCGTATCGTGCACGGTCGATGAAGGAAGGCCCAGCTTGTGGGACATCGAAGTCGTCATCAGACCAGGACATAACACGGCAGTAGCTGGGACGAGTGGAATGAGACGCGACGCGCCTGCAGGCGCCGGGTGTCACGTATAAGCCTGCCCTCAAGCCCGCCAGATATACCAAATGCAGACGGCGGGAGCCCCAATCGGGTAACAGCGTTGAGCACAGTGCACGAAATATCATTTAATTGCATTAGGATCCCAACTTGCACAATTGCTGTGCGGCATACAAGTACAAGATGTATGCGCACACCGGTGCCCTCGTCTGCTAGCAATACACACAAAGAACAAGAACAGTTCCCACTCACAAAGCACATCGCCGGCGACAGACCACACGGCCTACCTTCCCAATCGTCGTCGTCTTCATCGTCGCCCTTCCTGCTGGGACCACTCCTTGCTGTGCACCTCCACCCTCGCCGTCCTCCTCCTCCTCGTCCTCACGTTCCTGCTCCTCTTGTGCCTGCGCTCCCTTTCTCCGCCGCTTGCGCGTGCCCGCCGGTGCCGCTCCTTCAGGTTTCTTGCCCTTGCCACGCTTCTTCCGTGGCGCGTCAGATGGCTCGGCCTCGAGTGGAATTGTCCCGCCCGCAGACGGGTCCGGTACTCCCTCGACGATCTCTTTCAGGAAGTCGAGCATCTCCACGGTCTCCACGGCGTGCTTCCTGTGGCAGACACGCGGGATGCGATGTCAGGGCAACGCGGTGAGAGAAGAGCACACGCACAGATGGTAGGCTTCGACCCGCTTCGACCCGCGCTCGGTGGTGACCTTGCTTGCCTCGTCGATGACCAGCGCCAGGAACAGCTCAACCGCCTTCGCTGTCCGCACAGCGACAATGGGGCCGCAAGAACCAGAAAGGCATGGTCAGCACGATTCAAATCTGAACGAGTAGGCCGCGGTTTACAGATGACGATGGGTGTCGCCTGCGCGACCTTCCCAACCTCTTCATCCTTCTGCATGATGCGCTTGATCCGTGCCTGAAGCAACGCGGTGGTGTGGGTCAGGCTAGGGCTGGAAATGTACAGCAGAGGCGTACAACAGGAAACTTGGTCGTCTTGTTCTTGTTCTTCATGACGGTGAAGAGACGAGTGCAGATGTCGGTTCGTGTGGACAATGGACAAGCAGATATTGACCTCTCGATCGGTGCAGTGGCCGCCGTACGCTGTTGCGGAGAAGCTACAGGTGATAAACTGAGTGTACTAATCTCGCGTGACACTGATGGTGAAACGGTATCATGCTTGCCTTCCATACAATCATGTCGTATCCTCTTAGCAAGCGGCGCGGGTTCGACTCCCGCTCAGTGTATTTTATTCCTTGGAGTGATTTTGTGAGTGATATCAGTGGCCAGTACGTGACAGCCTTATAAGCATTGCCTATGCTTTTGAATTCGCCCTTCGCAGCTGCAAGAGTTTTTTCCATCGCGTCTCCTGCGTCTTCCATTCGCCATTCGTGCAAACATGCCGTCGACTCGCAGGCCGGTTTCTAAAAAGCGCAGGTTGCTTGCAGCCTCTCCTTCAGTTGTGGACAGTCTGCTTCACGTCCCGATCACACCCTCCAATGTACCGACACCTACCCCCGTAACGAAGGCATCGACCTGCACATCGTGCCACCGCGCCTTCACCGCGCGGCCCAACCACCTAATTGTTTGTGCACGGTTCGTACACAACACCCTCTTACCACCGCCAGTCCGAGTCTTACTGACGCGCCCACGCCAGGTGCCGTGCCCCGACCTGTACGATCTGTGCGCGAACGTGCACCGCCTGCCCGCCGTCCGCGCCACCCACGCCGGCGCTGTCGTTCTCGCCGACGCCGCCCGCAACGCCACTGCCGTCTCCGCGGCGCAGTGCGCTCGCGCTGCACACGAACACGCTCGCGTTCACCCCGGGCCGGAGGCGCAAGGCGCGGGAGGACGAGGAGGAGCACGTGGAGGGGGAGGAGGGCTGCGTGAAGGATGCGGGCGCGGAGATCTTGCCGGGGTGTGGCCGCACGATCTGCAGGAACTGCTGCTTCGAGAGCCTTCCGAGGTGCGTGTGTGCGGCCGGTTTGCAGCTGGCTGGGATGGGCTGACGCGCTGCGGCGCTTTGCTTTGTGGCCGTGCAGTAACGCGACGACGTGCTACGATTGTTGTGGCCGCCCGTACCGCGCTGCTGTGCCTGCTCCGCAGATGCAGGCGCAAGGCTTTGACTACCTGCAGGTTCCTCTGTCTATGCAGTAGGCGGTCTTCTGCGGGTCTATGATTGGGGATCACGGTCCATCTACGTGTCTTTCTCGCTCTGTCTATTTTGCCCTCTGATCTATAATACGGTACGCATATCTCACAAGCTCTCTAGGATGCCTCTATATTTCTGCTGTTCTACCAACACTACTTTAAACTACCTATCGCTGTCAACACTCCTTGCTGGTCTTTCGTTCCTCTTGTCTCTTCCTCACATTTTATTGTATGTACTTATGTTCGGCGCGTGCAGTGGCAGATTGTGGGATCGTTCACGACACTCAGCGCTCAGCTCGCGAACTAATGCGCAACTAGATCTCAAGGATATGAATGCAAAGGGCATCAGCCGGACGGTGTGAGATGATTCAGATATCCCGCAAGCCACATCCTAACAGAAACCTAGATGCAACAGGTCGATGCTTAGTACTTCCAACCATCCATTGTATGCTTACACAAATCTAAACCCAGAAAAACGATGCACACACCCATGCCGAGAAAGACACCGACCGCACCGACGCTCCGCCAGAGTGCATTCACCCGCAGCAAGTCCACTTGCCGTCCCGCTCGAACCAGACCTTTCCCTTCGGCAGGATAATGGTCTTGAGCGTCGGGCACGCCTTGTGCCAGAGCACCGCGATCTCCTGCTCGTCATCATGCGACGACGTGACGCCCGCCATGAACGTGAGGTAGCGCAGCCCCGAGAAGCGCGCCAGCAGCGGGCTCGAGTCCTGCAGCACACGCTGCGCGTGCGTCAGCACGCAGCCCCCCGCAGCCTGAAGAAACGGACGGCGCTCACATGGGTGTACTGCGCCATCAGGACGACGACGTGGAGGGCCTCGAGCTTCGGGATGCGCAGGGCGACCTCCGGGAGGAGGACGTTGGGCGGCGTGTTGTCGAGCGACATGATGGTGAGGCGCTTGATGGGGCGGCTCGAGAGCATGAGCGTGTCGAGCGGGGAGAAGCCGTCCTCCTGGAAGAGCGAGAGCGAGACGCCCTCGACGGGGCGGCCGCGCAGCACCTGCGAGAGGACGGGGACGCCTGCGTGCACGGCGCGGAACGACGTGAGCCGAGGAAGTGCCTCCGGCGCGAGGATGAAGGGCGACGTGGTCTGGAAGCCGCGCAGACAGAGCTCCGAGATGCGCGGCTGGGTCTCGAGGAAGCGCGCGAGTGCGTCGTCGCAGCGTACGGAGGTGGTGAAGCAGCGGAGCTGGAAGGAGCATTCTTTGAAGATCCATGCGATGCTGAGGTGGTTGTCGTGGGGGGAGAGTTCGACGGAAAGGGTGCGAAGGGCGGAAAGATTTTGGAGGGCGCGGTTCAGGAGACGGAATAAGTTGCCGATTACTCTGTGGTGGGTCCAGTCAATGGTGAGGCTATGGACGAGGGCGGCATGGCTAGGCACGGCACACAGTGACTTCAGACAGCTGATGGAACGCCGTATAGGCAGGTCAGGGATGACGCGATAGAGAATACGGAGGGCGATGGCATTGAAGTGGCTGTTTACGCGCAGGACAGGCGGGAGGTCGCCAAGCGGCAGTTCTTGGAAAATGTACTCCACGATCTCAACTGGAAAGACCGAAACCGTTGGCTGTAGCATCATGGGGGAAGATCTGGGTGTGCAACAAGACGAGTAGGAGTTATCGGATTCGAAACGCAAAGGTCGTGGGTACGGCGACAGCCTCGGTCGGTCCAGCGAACTCACTGTCAGTCAGCTCACGAGGTTGTGACATGGGGGCTCACTAGTCACACCTTCACGGTCACAATTTGTCACTGTCCCGTCTGTTTTCGACCAGCGCTCAACACGTTTTCTGTAGGACAGTGAGATTCGTATTCTGTCAGGAGCCAGAGATGGTGGACGAAACTTGAGCTTGAAACCCAAAGCGGCAAAGAACTCGAGGCAAGTTCTAGGTGGCGATCGTGACTACAATCCGCCTGCGTGCCATATATGATCGTTCAGGCGAAGTCCAAAACCAGAATTAGATGGGAGTAATTTGGCCAGGAGATACTGGACAATCAAGTCGGCGTAGTGATCTTAAGATGGTTTTGTCAGCCAAGGACCCGATCTTGATTTTGTTTAGATGTCTACAGGGACAACTAGATCACCGAAGGGACAAGACAGGCAACGGCGGCGAGAGACTGAAAGTGGTGGTGGTGGCACAAGCCAAGGGGTGAGAATGTGGTACCAGGCGGGAATTACTAAATGAAGATTGTAGGCCGCCCTCGATCGGCACGCCCATCACAGAAAAGGCGCGGGTCTTCGGATGGTATCACAAGGCAATTTGATGGCATTATGATCGAGAAAAGGGTCGTAAGGAGCACAAGGCTTGTAATCCCCTGAAGCCACAAGAGTCTAGCTTACAAGTGCTGCACGAGCGCAATGTAAGAGTGTTAGAATTGCCTTGCAACATCGGGAAGGCTTGTGGTCCTTCGGATGAGGGCCATTCTCTTGGTCCTTGCGGTGGAATCATGAGTTGCAAGAGAGTTGTTGACCTTGTCAGGTCATCATACGTATAGCAAGTGTTCTGGACATGCAAAGTTGTTCAGGAATGGTTTTGCTTGTGCTCGCCATACATTGTAGTTGCGATGTGACATAAGAATTTGATTGAGGTTTAATTCTACGAGACAACGCGACGCCGCGCACGACTAGTATCGACCATTCTATTCCCGACACCGAGCACTGCACGTGGTGCGTCTTCAACGACGAGCTCACCTCCATGCCACCCAGACTCGCTTCGCCGTCGGAGACACATCACCCTCTGGGCACGCATCCGGGGGGCGACTGGCATATGCGCCGACGTTCTCCTATTCGTCATCATCCTGAGGGCCTAGCACCAGCCGTTAGCACTGCTCCGCAAACAGAAAAAAAATGGCCTACTTAGTGTACCAGTAGCCCCTCTTGTTCTGCAGGCTGCAGGCCTTCGTGCAATTACTTGACAGGGGAGCGGTGGATGACCGTAATTAGAACTTGCCGATGCTGTCACCAACAGCAAAGAGTTTCTGCGAAGAGTGTAACCGACATCAGTTAATAAAATTGTTGCTTGGAATTAACACTCACCAGTACTGCGCTGTAAGCGAAGGCCCCTGTCATGATGTGTTGGTCTGAAAGACTGGTGAGGCAAGTGCTCGTCAATCTGGGAAAGGCAACTTACCTTTACAATCGACAGGGACCACAAGAAACCAAGGTGGAGATCGTCGTTATTACGCCGAACGCAGTGCCGTTGTGCGGCAATGTGTAACTGTCGAATTTCCTGAGAAGATGACCAATCAATCATCATGGGAGACATACACCTTTTTGAGGGGCACACCGCTGTCGGAGTGATCATGCCCATCTTCCGTATCAGCATGAATCCAGTGAGTTGGTGTGTGATATGACCAGACGGGGGGGGGAGGGTTTACCGAAGAGCCGGTTGTGGAAGAAGTCATCCAGTGGCAGTGGACGTGTTGGATAGCTACAAAGGGCGCGGTCAGGGAACGGGGAGCAGAAGTTATTGTGCCTGTGGCTGATTACTGTATAGCTATATAAAAATATTGAAAACCCGCGCAGTGGCTGTGGATCTATCTTCTCGGCAATCGGGTTAGGTATGCAGGGCCATACTGACACGGATCACGAGCGCCTGGCACTATGGTGTCTGTCTGCCCGGACCCACTGGCACGGATCATCCCATCCTCTCCTCCAAACATCCCGCCCGCTACGCTCTCTTGGGCATAGCTCCACCAGTTCCCTACGATGTCACCGTATATTCTTAGAGGCGTGTTCGTTGCGAGCCCGCCTTGTTTGTACTTCATCTCACCCCCGTCGTACTTCCGTCCAGACGAGTTCTAAACTCGCCAGTTGCACCAGTCAACAGTGGTGGTTTCTCCACAGACTGGACTAGGTTCCGGAGCAACTGCTCGCCGTACACCTAGCCGGGCTCTCACCCGCAGATGCAGTACACACAGGCCGACACCATACGCACAACTTGGCGGGGCGCAGTCCCTCCGCAGGGTGCTCCTCCGGCAGCCGCCCACCACGCCAAATCCACATGTTCACTGAGTATCTGCCCGCAAGATGTGACAAGGTTTGCCATGCGCCTCCTGTTCATCATGCATGGCAATG